GGATGAACCCTTCAGGTGTACTCTGTGTGATGAGGATGTGTGTCTCCAGGTGGCGCTGCTGTGTATGTTTCATAGGCTGAAGTGTGTGTTTGTGTGTGTTCTGACCAGCTGGTGTTGGTGTGAATCATGTGACCGTAACAAAGCACACAACACATGATGCTCTCATGTCCTCAACTACGGTCAACACTGATCCACATATTTCACTGTTTCCTCAGAGATCAAGAATCTGATCGATCAGGACATCTGTTAGGCTCATCGCAGAGGGAGAGATAGATCTGTCAGCATATTTATTAGTTATGTGTCAGTCTAGTATCCTCACTAAGACAGCTAGTTAGTGAACCTCGCCCACTAACGCCGGCCCTCACTGAGCTCCATGGACTCCTCCTGTATCCTCCTCTATCGTCTGTCCATCTCGTTGTCAAACATTAGTTCTCATTTCCAAACTCTCTGGTGTTTACTGTTTTCTGCTCCCATTAAAGAAACGAAGCACAGTGGTGCTGCAGTAGCCCAGTGACTGATGCTGTGTGTCCTACAGGTCAGACGTGGGTTCTCCAACATGGCGGCAGCGTCCTACGACCAGCTGCTGAGGCAGGTGGAGGTGTTAAAGATGGAGAACTCCAACCTGAGACAGGAGCTGCAGGACAACTCCAACCACCTGACCAAGCTGGAGACCGAGGCCTCCAACATGAAGGTTAGTCTGTAGTACTGTAGTACTCACCGGAGTACTGCTCACGGCACTACTGTGTTCTAGTAATGTAATTTAGTGTATCAGAGTACTGTAGTACTGTGACTACTGCAGTACTTTGCTGTGACTGTACACCTCAGTATAGTTCAGTAGCAGTGCAGCGTCCACACAGCGACAGTCTGTGAGCCAGCAGGGGATCGAGGGCTGGATGAAGTGTTTCTAACGGCCGTGTCCTTTAACGAAGCCGATGAGCGGCAGCAGGTTGGTCGCAGTGCAGCGCTACTACCAGGCCAGTAAAGGTGCTGCACTCATACTCCATGGCAGCATTTAGCAAACAAAGGTGACTGTTCTCTGTTCAGCTGCTGATCGGCCAGCAGCTGCTCTGAGGTCAGTTCAGACCAGGATGGACATGGCTATTGTCTGACTTCACCTGATTAGAAATATGTGCCGTGGTGACCCGGTTAGTCGTCAGTCAGCTGGTTTAACCCACAGAACTGATTTAGTTACCATGTTACAAACTTAAACACTAAACATGAGCAAATGTTTCCTCATAAATCCTGCTTTAATTTCTCCTGTCTTAATGGAAAGGTTTCAGTTTTATATCTTATTTCATAACGAAAGAAAAGATCTTCACCTGATAACCAAAAATGCGACCGTTTATAGAGATCAGCAGGTTTATTTTATTCTTTTGAAAGAGGAAGTTGTGTTTGGTTGCATTCTATGTTCATGATTTCATGTTGAGGTTCTCTAAAGCTCAGGAGAAACGTCAGTGTGCAGTAATATGAACGTGATGGAGTGTGTTGATGAGTTTCTGTTGTCTCAGATCGACCAGAAGCCTCCGAATCGAATCAAGCAAGACTTTGTCATCAGAGACTTAATGTTGGTGTTCAACACGTCTATATCCTACCATGATGAAAAGTCCGAGTGACACGTCTGGTGCTCATGCACTGAACATGTGGACAGGAGCTGCTGCACACGTCTGTACCAGCGTCCTCCAGCTGGAGCTTAACCACGGCTTAGTGCTGCTGGATGCTCTCAGCACACACAGCAGGAGAGTCACTGGAGCTGTTTGTAGCAGTCCATTTAAACCAGAACCAGGGAAACTTGTTTAGGAACCAGAGTCAAAATGAACATTTCTTGATGATCCTTTCAGGATTGTAGAAGCGGTTCTCCTGCTGCAGAAACCGTGTGCTTTAATATTCAATCTGTCGCTGACGTCTCTCTGTTGGAGTTCATGTCTGTCCTCCAGCGCTCTCTCTCTCTCTCTCTCTGCCGGCCCTATAAACTCAGTGTCTCTCTGTGTTCAGCTCAGAATAGACCTGTGGTATTTCCACCAATCACGCGCTGCCCTCCCTCCAGAATGAGCTCCTTGTTGTTGTTCAGAGTGAGATGTCGGTGAGTGAGGATCTTTGACACAGAGGACTCTGGAAACCTGTCAGAGTGAGCGGTCTGTCGTCTTCCTGTCTCTGCTTTTTCTTTTTCCTTTTCTTTTCTCATTTCTTTATGTTCAGTTTCTTCTACTTGTCTTACTTTCAGTCGTTTCTGGTTGTTTATCTCCTTGTGTTGTTGTTTTTCGTCCTCTCCTCTTTGTTTACTACACTCTACTTTTTCTTCCAGCCTCGTCTGTTTTAATCGTTTGTCACAGTTTAGTCTGTTCTTGATTTGGTTCTGACTTGAGAGACCTTTTTCTTCTTCTGTGTGTGGTGGAGGTGAACTTTCCCTCCCTTACTTTTCCTCCTCTGCTGTCGGTTTGGATTTTCACTGCTGTCTTCTCGTCTCTGTTGTTTTTCAGCTGTAGTTTTGTTCTGGTTGTCTCTGCTTCGTTATTGTCCAGTCTTTCCTCTCCGAGCACACACACTCACTTCCCATTTCCCGTTTCCCGTTTCCTGTTTTGTGTCGATGAGCAGAAGTAGTCTGAGTGTTTAGTTTCCATCATGTCGCTGTACAAACGCTGCAGATTCATCGTGGTGAGTGAAGACGACACAGCGACGAGAATTTATTCTGACAAACAGGAAGAGAACGCTTGTGTTTTCAAAGCAGGCGCCCCTGTATCGATCATATCGGTTCATTCTCGTTTGCATGTTTTTAAAATTTTTCTAGAACCCTGTGTGTCCTCAGAGTGTCAGAGCGCCCCCTGTGGCCGGGCCAAACACACAGTCAGCGTGTTAACTCAGTGCCATCTTTGTTTTCTCTGCTCGTGTGTAACAGGAGGTGCTGAAGCAGCTGCAGGGCACCATAGAAGAAGAGTCTGGAGAGGCGTCTGGGTCTCAGCTGGAGCTCATCGAAAGGCTGAAAGGTGAGCAAAACAAACGCACACCACCAGGTCGGTCTGTGTCGGATCAGACGGAGTTCAGGAAACACGTTGCTGCACCTCCTCACGTTTCCTGTGGAGTTTCCGTATTTGTTATTTGGACCCTAAAACTAAGCTCTTTAACTTTGGGGGAATTCAATCTGTTTTCAGACATGAGAATATTTGTGTTGTTCGCCCTTAATTGAATTTCCCTTCTGGGATAAATAAAGTATTTTTCATTTCATTTCAATTCATTTTCATTTCATTAAAAAATAAACTGGAAGGCGTTTTAAGGGTTCAGTATCTCCAGAAATAAAACTCCCACGGCCATGAACCGTGGGGACTCAGTCAGAACAGTTCCATCAGAACGACTGAATGGATCCAGCAGGACACAGTTTAGTTACTGGACCTTAGAATAATAATAATTAAAAGAAAGAGAAGTCATCAAGTGATGGAGGTGCTGATCCAGAAAGTTCCTGTCAGTGTCTGTCTATGGATGGATCCATGGTTCTACTAGAACCCAGTCTCTGGTCACATCTCACCACCTGCTGAGGCTCTAACATCAGCAGAACCTGGTGTGGTGAAGCTGGACCAGACCAGGTTCTGGTTTTACATGTCCAGACTAAATGTTGAGGTGGATCATTGGTAGGAACCAGAACCTGGAGTTCACAGGTTCTAGATGTTGAGCAAACGACTTCATTTTATATGAAAACATATGAATTTTTCAAAACTCAGACAACATATTTTACAGAACTTAGTTTTGGATCTGAAATAAGAACTAAATAAACTCTGAACTAAATCTGAAACGATGGAGCAACAGCGCCATCTGAAATGACACGGGCCGGCCCAAACAGTGCGAGCACACACTAGTTCACATCAGTCTCCTCAGGTGCTGACACGAGCTACGCTGCTCAGAAACCGGAACATGTTGTTTACATGCACAAGCAGGATACTTCAGAGACCCGATCAGAACCAGAACTCTCATGTCCATGTACGCTCTGTGTAATCTGCCTCCAGAGATGAGCCTGGACTCGGCAGGCTTTAAGCCCAGGTCCAGGCCTCCTCTGCCCCCCTCGTCCTCCTCCAGCTCGGCCTCTTCTGGATCCGGACCCCCTGCAGGAGCAGCCGGAGGCTCCGGAGCTCCGGGCCCCTCGACGTCCGCCGCCTTCCCCAGGAGAGGGCTGCCGTCTGCGGGCAGAGACAGCCACGACCGGTGCCTGGAGGAGCTGGAGAAGGAGAGGTACAGCTCACGGTACTAACACGAGCACTGTGATTGGCTGCTGTGGTTTAGCGGCTCACCCCCTCTGTGTCCTGCTCTGTGATTGGCTGCTCCCCGCCAGGTCCCTCCTGCTGGCCGAGCTGGAGAAGGAGGAGAAGGAGAAGGACTGGTACTACGCTCAGCTGCAGAACCTCACCAAGAGGATCGACAGCCTGCCGCTCACCGAGAATGTAAGCAGGCTTTTTACCTGGAGAAGTTCTGTGTGGGCCTGGAAAAGATCTAGAAAATGTGAAATCTTGGAAAGTTTTGGAAAAGTCTGAAATATGTTTCCGCAGTAATTTGCTTTTTAGTGCGAGTAGACAGACGCACACTGTTGGATGTCCCTGGAGGTCACAATATAAGCATCGCTGACCGTTTGGCCAGCTGCCTGACACTGCTCGTTAATACTGCTAGTTAACGCTGCTCGTTAATACTGCTAGTTAACGCTGCTCGTTAATACTGCTAGTTAACGTTGCTAGTTAGCGTTGCTGGTTAACCTGCTAGTTAGCAATGCTAGTTAATGCTGCTAGTTAATGCTGCTTATTAACGCTGCTTGTTAACACTGCTAGTTAAC